AAGGAGGGGAACATCACACATTGGGGACTGTCAGGCGGTGGAGGGATTGGGGAGTAATAGCATTAGGAGAAATACGTAATGTAGATGGTAGGGTGATGGATGCAGCCAACCACGAAGGCATGTGTATGCCTATGTAATAAACTTGCATATTCTGCACATGTACCCCAGAACTTAAAACACACACACACACACACATACACACACACATGCACACACACACAAACTGATGAGTGTCTATGGCATTATTGTCACTTGACATCCATAGTTTACATTAGGGTTCACTTTTGACATTGTAGATTCTATGGAATTCAACAAATTTATGACATGTGTCCAACTTTGTAATAGCATACAGAGTAGTATCACTACCCCAAAAATCTTTTGCGCTCTGCCTATTCATTCCTCCCTCCTTCCTACTTTTCTAATATTTTAGGTTTAAATAATATCAGTTATGCACAGTGATTCATAAGGGACTATGTATGCATAAGGATGTTTATTGTAGTCATATTAATAGTAACACAACAATGCAAGCAATCTCACTTTTTAACCACCAGTGAATGTTTATAGTTGATCATACAATAATAAAAAGTTTCTGAAACTAATGCATAAGAAATACTTTTGTTATAATATTAAGAAGTAAAAACATTTATTTGGTACAAGTGTATGCCTGTTGAATAGAAGCAAAGAAAAAATATTAGAGGGTGCACATCAGGATGTTAACATAATTTTCTCTGTGTTATGTGACTGCTTTCTACCTTTTTTCTTTATTGTATTTCTTACAAAAATGTACATTTCTGTCAACATCAAAAAATGTTTTCATATTAAGATAACTTAAGAATACAATCAGCTGTAAATATTAAAGAATGGTAAAAAATTATCATTTCAGGAACTGTAGCTCCAAAAATGACTAGATATTCTGAAAAAGAATATACGTAAGAAAGCTTAAAGGTTGAGGGACTTTGTGAATTGAGTTGATGTTCGCACCAATTAATTTCTAATGATTCCATTCTATTCTAATGGTTTAAGTTTTATATATTTATCCTTGACATATCAATTAAACTGATGCTTCACAGATAACTCCTTTATGAAATTATCTCCTGGTGTTTAGGCTAATTCATACAAGAACATATTGCATGTTTTTCTTGACTGACATTTACAAGTTACTTTGGAGATTAAACTTGTAATTGTATTTTGATCTGTGATATTTTGTAATGGCTTTTCGTCAAAGGAAATTCTGACCCAACATAAGGAAATTGTTTCTTTTAGTTATGTATCACTACTAATTAAAATTAATTATTTAGATGCTATACTGAATAATTTTATGCACTTTGTAAACATGCACTCTCATTTTAGATATGGAACTTGAAGTACTTTTCCCTAAGCTTCTGATCTCAGCATGTCTGTGGGTTCTCAGACTCTGTCACGTCTCCAGTTGTTTAAACTTGGTATCATACTTAGTCAGGGACTATAATTTAAAAAGACAATTTATTTGTTAAGTTGTTGTTCCTCATAATTCCTATCATTCTTCATATTTTCATATTACTTCCTCCCTCTTTACTTATTTAAGTTTAGTTTCAAAAATATTTGCCCCCCTCCATTTATCCATTCATCTACCCATCCATCCGTTTATTTGGAGCACAGGTTGGCATGTCAATAGAGATTCTTTAAATTAAGCATTATTTACTTAGAAATTAGAAAATATCAAATTGCTTGTCATTCACTCTGAACTTTGGAAACAAGACATATTAATTGTTGTTTGACTTTTTTGACTACCAAAGTGATGTTTATTATAGAAAATTCAGACCATGATAAAATATATTTTAAACAATCACCCCATAATTGCTGTCATACAAAGATGATATTAATACTTTATTACCTCATCTTCTCACCTGAAAAGAGTTTTCAGTTTTACATTTATTCTGTATGGTAGGTCAAATAGTAGAAAAATTTCTGGGAGAAACTATGAAATAATGAATTATTATTGAATAGGTATTTAAACTGACAATTACAGATTATGTTTTTCTTTATTTTTATCAAGGGTCATATGTATAGAATATTTACATGACATTATAAAGAAAGCACTTTTTAGTATTACATATGAGATAAAAGTATTTTTTGCAAATTACTTAATTTCAAAAAGCTTATGAAATCTACTGGTTTTGATTGTCATACTTGTATTAGTTATTTATATTACTTTGGTTTGCTATAAGGTTGTAGTTTCAGTGCAATAATGCCTATTTTTAAACCAGATCATAATGATACATATAATTGCATTTTAGTATATCTTATAATGTATAGGAAATTATTAATTCAGGATTACCTTCTAGAAATTGGAAATGCTTGGTGAAGTGAAAAATTGTGAACGCTAACTTCAGAGCTTTAGAGAAGAAATAAATGTCATATATTGTTAAGCAAAGCAACTCTTAAATTAGTACTTTAAATTTAACAGTAGAGCAAGTACTCATTATTAGTTTAATTAATTGCTGATTTTTAAGTTCATGTTTTTTTTGCTGCTCAGAGTTGCATTATGAGACACCAAATTCATGTAATTATATAGACTATGTGGTCTAATTAATAAAGAGAGACTATTTTTTCAAATATAGTGTCTTTTCATTTAACACTATTATCTTTTTCTGATTATAATTAGATAGCTCTAACTGATCTTCTTATTTTAGTTTACATGTGTCCTAACCTCTTATTTTGTTTATTTCTCTGGGGTAAATTGTAGACAATTTCTTCAAAATTTTTTCAGTTAAAAAATTCTCTTTTCAGTTTTGTTTGGTCTGTAAGGAAGTTAGGGTAAGTGCTTAATAAATAATTGTTAAATTATGGTATTTATGTCTTTCTGATATTTATCCATGAGCCTGAACATGTTAACATTGATTGAATGTGTACACACATGAAAGGACAATTGAATGGGGAAAATTTAGCACTGGGAGGTACAATAAATAGAATTTCTATAAATAAAGGTGTGTTTGTTTATTTGTTGTTTGTTTTATCTCAAGAAGTTATGCATGCCTTAAAATGTTGACTTTACCTAAGTAAAATTGGAAAACTTCACAGTACCAGTTGGTACCATAACCTTTGTCGTTAATAAACGCTTGATGACAGCCATGAGAATGCTGTTATAGAGACCAAGACTTTGCTGGGATGTTAGTCAAATTGAGAAGTGCTGTATGAAATTTGAGAATTACATGCACTTAATCCTGAGCATTATATAGACTTAAATGTCTGAGCCTTTCATTTGTTCTGTAAATTTTTGTGTAAGTAAAAGTGATACTTACTTGCTAGAGAGGGAAATCATATTTATTCTTGCTACATTGAGGAAATAATTGAAAAACTTTATTTTTCTGCCAGTACCCTGTACATTCTGCAATGTTTATTCTCAAGTTTTGGTTTTAGATGTTGAATCTTTTTCAAAAAATTTATTAAAGTGTATATTTTTTATTTTGTTTGTAGAGCAACAATGCATACACATAAACCAGGCCCATTTGTACTTCTTATTTTTGTTATTCTTACCACATTTGTTTGTTTGCTTGGTTTTTAATTTTATTTCTTTTATAAAAGTGGCCTTTAGCAATGTGCTACATGAGACCTGCTTATATTCCTGGAATTATCTGTTGGAGTCTTGAGTTTCTCTCCCTATTGATTTCCCTTTTCTTTCCTCTCATATTACTATATGCACCCCCTTTGCATATACATTGGGAACAAAAGGTAGTATGACCTTCACAAGATTATTGACAATTGCATAAAATTGTACATATAAGTTGTTTAGAATAGTGGACATTATGTAGTAAAATATCAATGAGGCATGAATGTTAACCGTTGTTTTTAATTATTATCAGGTTGACACTCCTGGTACTTGAAGGGAAAAATATAATAAAAGAGAATCAGAAGTAAATATTTTCCTTTAATCTCAGCAAGCTGTAATAGTTGCCTTTTCTCTAGTCTTCAGCGTCCTAGATGCTGTGGGACTCTACCTCATAGCACCTTCTGATAGGATAGGCAGTTTGAATACCCAGGTCTCTCACGTACTTTAATGTAACATGGGGTTATGGAGCTTTTTTTTTTAACGTTATTGTGGGAGTTACTTTGAGGATTTTCTCCTTTGTCTAGAACTGGTATTTTAAAGAAAAAAATTGGTCAGAAAAGAAAATAAATGCCAGCCATTTTCTTTCCTCCCTTTATAATCTCAGGATTTCTTAAGAGAGCCTTGACATTGAAATCATCCAGACATTTCTTTGTTCATCATCTTTCCTCTATTATAAATCTAGTGTCATAATTTGTAACATTGAGTTGTTTCTTGTATTTGTGTTGGTAATTATAACCTTCTTAGTTTTTTGAAATCAACTTCCTGTTTAGAAATACAAGTGAAAATATGTGTACTTATATATATATATATATATATATATATGTATTATATGTAGAAAAATGTGAAAGAGAAATAGAATTTTTCTGTCACTTCCTCACTCTTAGATGATTCCATTAAGACTGCTCTCTATGTCCACAAGAAGTAGGAGACCAGTGTTACGACCATTTTAAATAATACCCTGTGTTTTTCCTTTTCATCCTTAACATAGGGAGGCATAGACAATAATATTTTATTAATACATTCTCTTTTTTTATAATAAAAGTTTCATATTTATTATCTAGTTTGACTTGGGAAATGTTGTCATTTCTTATCATTCTCTCCTTTGCCATCTTTAACTCTGTTTGTAAATACACAAAACCTTATGATAACAGGAATTTGAATATATCATAATTGTGCTCTCTAACTGGCTCATCATGCATTTAATTAACCTTGTAGTAATGCCATTCTGCATTTCTGGGAACTGAATTTTGAGAACCCACCTAAAGAATTTGGTATGGTTTGGGAATCATTAATTTAATGAATTTTTAAAGATACATGCATCATTAAGATCTTGGTTTTCATATTTTTGGTTGTAATCATTTTATGCAGATAAACAGTGCAAATATTAAGAATAAATTATATTATCTTGTAGTTGATCGTAGTTGTGAAAAAGTAAATACACCAGAAAGGCCTACTCAGAAAAGTCTTCGTGAAGCCAGGGAACAAAACAAATGTAAAACAAAGATGAAAGGCAATACAAAGGTATGATATTTATTTTTATTTTCATTAAGTCATACATAACTCTCAGATTTTTAGATCCATACACTCATATGGTGTCATCATTATTTTACCTGAAAGGGAATTTGGAGGTTGTATATTCCAGACTGCTTGGTTTATATGTGGACAGTGGAGGTACCCAAATGTTTCTAGTAAATAGTTAATTCAGGGACACGTTTATTAGTAGCAGAGACAGCTCAATGGATCACTCTACCTTCTATCCCAATGTAATCACAATCATGTCTGCTCACCTCCTAACTTTTCTGCTTGAAATTGCCTCTAAAAGAAATCACTCCCAGGTCCTATCTTGCTATTTCTTTCCTCAAAATGTAACGTCAGACTTTACTTAGTCTTCTTTAAAGGTAGAATGAAATAGCATTATGCTCCACTTAACAGTCTCCTTATATCTTGTGTACCTTCACTTTGTAATCAGACTGGTAGTTTAAATCTTCACAGCAACTAAAGAAAATGGTATTAAAAGTGGTTGGCCAAAGAGATCAGAAATGAAGAAAATTACATAAAACCTGTGGAGAGTTTAGTTTATTGTTATGAAAATTACATAAAAGTCTAGCTCAGGTAATGAATTTTCTCGAAAGGCAGTTGGTACCTTAGAGTTTTAAAATATCTGGCACTTATTTTAAAATAAAAATACTTACAATTATAATTGCTTCTTAGTAACAATAATTCTAGAAGAAGAATAGATTTGTATGAATTCAAATAATAGCATTTACTTAGGTAATGCCAGTAATATTTTTTTCTCTCTAAGATATGCGTGGATTCTGGTATTTTATAAAATATTTGAATAAAATAAAAACTAATCACTTTTTGGTTATAATAAGCTTTTCATTATAATCTTGTCTTGTGCTTTACCAGAGTAGTGTTTTCTTGTTTTCTATCACCATAATTAATTTATAGATTATGGTATGTGAGGTAGACTCACATCAGATTGAAGGATTTTTGGAATGATGGTGGTGATTGTCATCAGAAACGTTTTCATTCTCTAATGGTGTAAGTATTCTCTTTCAGGTAGTAAGTAGTAAGTCATGCTTAAAGCGATTTGTTGATTCATTTACTCAGTGCTTATGGCTTGTGAGAGTTTAGATTAATAATGCAAGGTTGACTTTTTATGTGACAAAAAGCTACTAAAATATAGGAAAAGTACATTTCATATTTATGCATAGTATATTATTTTATGGTGTTGCATTCAGATATTTAATGTAATATCTACAACATACATTTTAATATGACATAGGTCATATTAAAAAGTCATATTAAAGGGCTGAAGTGTAAAATAAAGTGAATCTTTCTCACTCTCACTGAGTAATCATTTTTACTAATATTTCTCTTAATTTACTTGTTATTATAACAAATGACTGAGTTCTGTTTCTGTTTATTTAATCATTCACTTTACATGGTACCTATTGATTCTTTGCTGTAACAGAGAGGCATTAAGAGCACTTTACTGATTTGATTTGAGTTATATTATTATGCATGTTGTCATAATTGATAACATTTACACTTGTTCTGTAGTCTTAATTCCATTTTCTGTGCTTTGTCTGTAAATTAATACTAAAATTTAATCCCATAAACAGCCTTTAAATGGATTATGTTTAAGTAAATGTGATTGATTGCAGACATTGCAAATCTAACTAGAACTATAGAAGAGAAAGGAGAATACCTGAAGTGTACAGGGCTGTATTTAAAAGATTTCTCTTTTAAATACAGTCACTCTTTTCTACTTCCTGGGCTTATACTCAACTGCCCCTGTTATGTATTTTCCTATTTTTCTTATGGATTGCTCTTTCTATTTTCCTGGAGTATCCCCTTGAGTAATTTTCAGAAAAGGCCAATGGAAATAAATAATCTAAGCTCATACATTTGAAATATTCTTGTTCTGCCTTACACTGAGTTGATATTTTGCTGGACATAGAGTTCTAGTTTTAAATTAATTTTTCACCAGAACTTTAAAGGCATTGTTTTAATGTCTTAGAGGATAGCAATAATTGCTGTTGGTCTGATTCTTGTTATTTTGTTGGGAAGTAAAAAATACCATATGCAATGCAATTTACTAGTAAACTAGCATTTTGAACAGCTAGAACATTGAGGTGTAATCATAATAACAACTTTATTTATGTGACCTACTGACCCTTAAAGCTGCTTAGTGAAGGCAATTCAACCCTTACCATAGGGTGATAATTCATTTAAGTGTTCATGAAATTATTAGTTAAGTGTGTGTTTACTCTGGTTGCAAAACACAGTCTCAAATCAGTAATTAAATATGTCCAGCTTTATGTAACATAAAAGCTCCACATTTAACATGAAGTTAAATTTTTACCTAACCCTCAGCTGAAACCTTCTTTGGGCTAGACAGTTGCAGTGTGGAAGGGGTTGTGATGGTGGTGTTTTGAGGCTGTTCATATTTCTTTTCCTCATACTTTTTCCCTAGTTTGCTAACTGGCAAGGTTGAGGGCACAAGGAGAGAGAAATTAAAAAGGAATGGAAGAGTTGTCACTTGACTTGACATACCTTATGATGGCTTAGAGTTCTTTGAACTTGTCAAAATCGGAAAGCTATTAATTACCCTGATGAGCACTGTATTAGTCAGGGATAGAAGGATATATAGATATTAGTTCTCTAGAGGGAGAGAACTAATACACACACACACACACACACACACACACACACACACACACACATATGTTCTCTACAGAGATAGAACTAAGATATATCTTATATGATATGTATATAAATATATATAAATGTATATATGGGGAGTTTATTAAGTATTAACTTACAAGATCACGAAGTCCCATAATAGGCCATCTGCAAACTGAGGAGCAAGGAGAGCCAGTCCAAGTCCTAAAACTGAAGAACTTAGAGTCTGATGTTTGAGAGCAGGAGGCATACAGCATGAGAGAAAGATGTAGACTGGGAGGTTAGGCCAATCTGATATTACCATATGCACCCCCTTCTCCTATACAATCAGGAGCTGATTAGATGGTGCCTGCCCAGATTTGGGTGGGTCTGTCTTTCCAGCCCATTAACTCAAATGTTAATCTGCTTTGGCAACACCCTCACAGCCACACCCATGATCAATACTTTGCATCCTTCAATCCAATCAAGTTGACAGTATTAACCATCATACGTCCACCCTTTGTCTACTTCAACCCATACACATCTCCTGAGATCAGACTAATCTTCAAATAAAGACAATAATAAGGTCATACTTATGCCTAACATAATAACAACTATCCTTCATACAGCCAGAAGTACATCAGTCCCCAACTCAAATACTATTATGTAAAGTTAACAATACTTAAATGCTGATGTGAAGTCAATAAGTCTCATATCACATGATAAGAGAAAAAGAAAATAAAATGAAGATTTTGTTTTAGTACAAGTGTATTCATGGACAACCATGGCTTTAACAAAAGAAGAAGGAAATACTCATGATAATTGTAATCCTCTTTCTGAAGCTGGTCATGTGGTCATAGCTGGTATTGATGACCACCTTCTTCTACTACCTATTCTGTATTCCCTTTGCCTTCAGCAAGTACCTCAGCAGGTTGTGGATTTTTTCCTTGTGAAGTGACCCAAACCTTCATTCCTGAAGGGTCTGGGCCATATGCAGTCCTGCTCAGATTGGGCTGTTATATTTCCCAATGACCTTAATCACAGGGCATGGTAATACTAAGAAGCACCCTAACAGACCTCCTGTATTCTGTGCATAACTCTTCGTTACCTCCACTGTGGAGCAGTAGACTGATTTCATCTTGATAATCCGGGTCATTTACCCCAGCCAACACTGTAACTCCATTCTTAGCCTGTTGACTTAAAGGTAGGAGGAGCCCAAAGTGTCCAGGTGGCAATCTTAACTTCCAGTTTAATGGAATCATTGTTGTGTCTCCTGGTGGCATCATTCTTCCCTCCAGAACTAAGATCTCTAGGCCAGCAGAATATAATGTTGTGAGAATAGGAAGCAAAAATTTTGCTGGCGGATCACTAGGGGTGATGATGAATGGTGCCTCTTCCATCCCTTGATTCCTGGATCTATGAATCCTGACTATGGGAGAAACAGTACCATATGTTGCATGCTGATTCAGAGCATATATGGCTTTCTGTATAACTTTGCCTCAGCCCAGCAAAGTATCACCTAGTTGGCATTGTAATTGTGGCTTCAAAAGGCCATTCCGTGGTTTTATCAATCCAGCTGCTTTAGGATGATGGGGGACATGGTAAGACCAGCGGATTTCATGAGCCTGAAGCCCTCTGCTGCACTTCTTTAGTTCTAAAGTGAGTGCCTTGGTCAGAGGCGGTGCTATGTGGAATACCATGATGGTGGATAAGACATTCCACAAGTCCACAGACGATAGTCTTGGCAAAAGCATTGTGTTTAGGATAGGCAAGCCCATATCCCAGAGTAAGTGTCTATTATAGTGAGGACAAACCTCTGCCCTTTCCATGATGGAAGAGGTCCAATATAATCAATCTGCCACCAGGTAGCTGGCTAATCACCTCAAGAAATGGTGCCATATTGAAAGCTAAGTGTTGGTCTCTGCTGCTGGGCAATTGGGCACTCAGCAGTAGCCATAGCCAGGTCATCCATGGTGAGTGGAAGTCTATGTTCCTAGGCCCATGTGTAACCTTCACTCCTGCCACCATGGTCACTTTGTTCATAGGCTCAATGGGTGATGACGGGTGGCTGGCGAAAGAGGCTGAGTGGTGTCCACAAAAACGTGTCATCCTATCCACTGGATTATTAAAATCCTCCTCAGCTGAGGTCATCTGTTGGAGAGCACTCACATGGGATACAAATATCTTCACAGTTTTTGACCACTCCAAGAGGTCCATCCATATACCTCTTTCCCAAGTTTCTTTGTCACCAGTTTTCCAATCATGCTTCTTCCAAGTCCCTGACCTTTCAGCCAAACCATTGGCTACAGACATAAATCAGTATATAATCACACATCTTGCCATTTCTCTTTCCATGCGAAGTGCACAACCAGGTGCACTGCTCTATGTTCTGCTCACTGGGAAGATTTCCCTTCATCACTGTCTTTGAGGGATGTCCTAGAAAGGGGCAGTAGTGCTGCAGCTGTCAACTTTTGGGTGGTACCTGCATATTGTGCAGAACCATCTGTGAACTAGGCCCTAATCTTCTTTTCCTCTGTCAACCTGATCATAGAGAACTCCCCATGAGGCCATCAGTGCAGGGTGAGAGGCAGAAGACAGGTGGCAGGAGTAGAGACCATAGACATTTGAGCCACTTCCTCATGTAACTTACTTCTGCCTTTGGGACCTGCTTGAGCACAATCACGCATATACCACTTTCATATGATGATGGAATGCTGCTTTGCATGACTCCCACTTTATGGCTAGATGAGTCAGAAAGCACTCAGTTCATGATAGGAAGTTCAGGTCACATGGTGATTTGATGACCCATAGTCAAGCGTTCAGTTTCCACCAAACCCAGCAACAGGCCAAGAGCTGTCTCTCAAAAGGAGATTAGCTATCTGCAGAAGATGGCAGGGCCTTGCTCCATGATCCTAGAGGCCCCTGCTGTGATTCACCTATGGGGGCACCATTGGATCTGCTGGGTTATATGGCCCAAGTGGTAGAGCATCTTGCACAGCAGCCTGTACCTGTTGCAGAGTCTTGTCCTGTTCTGGACTGCACTTAAAACTGGCAGCCTTTTGGGTCACTCAATAAATGGGCCAGAGTAACATACCCAAATGAGGAATGTAGTGCCTGCAAAATCCAAATAGGTCCACTAGGCATTGTACCTCTTTCTTGGTTGTAGGAGGGGCCAAACTCAGCAGCTTATTCTTCTTCTTAGAAGGAATATCTCAGCAGTCCCCACACCACTGGACCCCTAGAAATTTTACTGGGGTAGAAGATCCCTGAATTTTAGTTGGATTTATTTTTCATCCTCTGTCATGCAGATGTCTCACCAATAATTCCAGTGTGTTTGCTACTTCTTGCTTACTGGATTCAATCAGCATAATGTCATCAATGTAGCGGGCTAGGGTGATATCTTGTGGAAGTGAAAAGCGATCAAGAACTCTCCGAATAAGATTATGACACAAAGCCAGAGAGTTGCTATCTCCCTGAGGTAGGACAGTAAAGGTATATTGCTGGCCTTGCCAGCTGAAGGCAAATTGCTTCTGGTGGACCTTATGGACAGAAATGGAGAAAAAGGCATTTGCTAAGTCAGTGACTGCATACCAGATACCAGGAGATGTGCTAATTTTCTCAAGCAATGAAACTACATCTGGTACAGAAGCTGCAAATGGAGTCATCATTTGGTTAAGCTTGCAATAATCCACTGTTATTCTCCAAGATCCATCTGTCTTCTGCATAGGCCTTATGGAAGAGTTGAACAGGAGGAATGCGGTGGGAGTCACCACCCCTGTGTCTTTTGAGTCCTTGATGGTGGCACTGATCTCTGTAATTTCTCTGGGGATATGATATTATTTTTGATTTACTGTTTTTCTAAGGCAGCTGTAATGACTTCCTTTTGACCTTTCCCACTATAATCACCCTCACCCTGCCATTCAGGGAGCCAGTATGGGGGTATGGTACTGCCATCTGCTAAGTATGTCTATGCCAATTATGCATTCTGGCACTGGAAAAATAACCACAGGATGAGTTTGGAGACCCACTGGACCCACTGGAAGACCTGAGCTAAAACTCTATTCTTTTTCTTTCTTTCTTTTTTTTTAGATGAAGTCTCATTTTGTCACCTAGGCTGCAGTGCAGTGACACTCACTCACTCACTGCAACCTCTGCCTCTTTGGTTCAAGAGATTCTCCTGCCTCAGCCTCCTGAGTAGCTGGGACTGCAGTCATGTACCACCACACCTTTTAAATTTTTGTAATGTTAGTAGAGACAGGGTTTTGCCGTGTTGGCCAGGCTGATCTCAAACTCCTGACCTCAGGTGATCCACCTACCTTGGCCTCCCCAAATGCTGGGACTATAGGCATGAGCCGCCGCACCCAGCCTAAGACTCTATGAAATTATCTGACCTTCATAAGCCCCCTACTTTAACAGGAGGAACACAATGACGTTTTGGCTTTCCTGGAATCAACATCAGTTCAGAGCCAGTGTCTAGTAGTCCTTGAAATGTCTGATCATTTCCCTTTCCCGAATGCACAATTACACTGCAAAAGGCTGGAGGTCTCCTTGGGGAAGTATGGGAGAAAGATTAACAGCATAAAATGTCAGTAGTATAATGGGATCCTTCCTCAAGGGGACCTGGCCTCCCCTTCATTGAAGGGGTTCTGGGTCCATAAACTGGCTCAAGTCTGGAAGTTGATTGAGGAGCCTTGATTCTCTGTTTTTACAATTCAGATTAGTCTTTTGTCCATTTGACTTAGAAGTTTTCTGCTTATATTTATTAAATAGGAATGCAGTAGGCTTCCTATCAATTTCACTTCTAGGAACACCATGATTAATTAACCAATGGCAAAGTTCTACATGAGTTAGACTATTCTGATTGCTGGTTTGCCTCTCCTGTCCATTATAGTAGCTCTGCCCAGCTTGCCTTTAACGGTTGAGTGCTGCCACTTGGCCCCTGCCACATGGAATCCAGTTATTCCCATTGTATTTAAATTTTGTAGTTGAGTGACCGTAGTTCCCACTGTTAGTTCGGATATCCAGAGAATAACAATTACAA